TTTATAAGGATTTCATGACTTTTTGGATATTGACGACCAGTGACCGCATGGCATAATGATTGTTAAGAGTTTATATCAGTTATTCTCGCTTCGCTCGTTTTAATTCTTTCGTTTATTACCAATTGATTTAGTTAATTAGAATACATTGTACATTTTAATTTCAGATCGAATAAATTCTTCGGTAGTGGATCGTCTTAGTTCCCCTTCGTCTTAGATCCCCATTCGATTTCTGGCTAACCAAGGTTCGTAATGAATTCAAGACGATAAACAATGGCTGAAGCACAAGAAAACGCTATCAAACAGGCCAAGATAAAATGGAGCAACTGTAAGGGCGCACTAACCTGTCAAGGAAAAGTTGTTTGTCATAGATTATCTGCAAATCGGCCAGCGGAAGAAATTAGAAAGGAACTGAAAAAATATGAACTGGCGTTCGAAGATTTATTATTATTCTCGAAGACGATGAACAATTCGAGCACGAAGAAGCATGGATGGAAGAATGTCAGGAGATTTACCTAAAGCCTTCAACGGACACAGATTTTTTAAAGGAACAACTGGTCTTAAGTCAAAGCGCACACAAAAAAAGCATCGCCGGAACTTCTGTCACTGTCAGCGCACCGGAAGAAGCAATGGAAAATTCTGTCAGCCAAGATGAAATTCACACTGAAAACACAGCTAACCAGAAAGGAAAACCTGCAATTTTGTCTTTCAGTCATCAGTCTTCTCAAGAACACGTAGCCGAAGTACAGAATTCTACCGTCGATAATGTTCAAGGAGCCGATAACGTGATAACTAATGACATTACAGAACAAAACACACCACCTGTCAACGCAAATGGCAATAACACGCAATCGGCTTTCCGGATGGAAAAACCCAAAATGCTAAAGTTCTCAGGTGATGTCAGGGAATTCGCGATTTTCAAAGTGGACTTCAAACATCTGGTGGAGGCACGATATAGTAAACGTGATTCGATCACTATTCTTCGAGCAAGCTTGAATGGAAAGCCTTTGGAATTAATAAAGGGAATTGGCCAAGACTACGATGCCACGTGGGAGCATCTGGAATCGATTTATGGAGACCTGAGATTTGTTGCTGACACTATCACGCAAGATATCACCCGATTTAAGTCTTTGCATGACGGAGAAGATGCCCGTTTCTGTGACTTAGTACATCTCGTGAGACAAAGTTTCAACAGCCTGTCGGAAGTTGGGCGGCAAAATGACATGGACAATAATCACATGTTGGCGATTATTGAACAAAAAATGTGTTCCAACGACCGCAAAGTTTGGTCACGTTCCTTGGAGACCACAAAATGTCACACCACGCTGGAAGCGTTAATGGCCTGGATGACATACCAAATGAAATCTAGAATGAGGGTCACGGCACCGCTGAGAAGTTCTAAGCACCTAAACGTCAATCACATATCAGCTTTTGAGGAGAAAGGGACAGCAAACCACAAGAGCTGGTTGTGTAAGGTGTCAACCCATTGGACGGACCAGTGTCAGAAATTTACATCACTGTCCCCCAGCGACCGTCTCATAGCCGTCAAGGAGGACCATGGTTGTTTCAGTTGTCTAAAACGAGCTGGTCGTGATCATAATGTTTCCAACTGTTCCCGCAGACGCCAATGCAGTGAGTCATTTAACGGAAGTCAGTACAAATACTTTCACCACCCATTGTTACACGGTGCCAATGCAACAAACTCAGCATTAACAGTTTCATCCGTTACGGACAGCAAACGGGCAATTCTTCCCGTCATTCTTGTGGAACTTCTGGGATCAGAAAATGTCAAAAAGCAAGGAAACCTGCTGCTGGATTCTGGTGCTCAGGTCAGCTTAATCAAGTTGTCAGTAGCAGAAGAACTCGGTCTTAAGGGAAAGGAAGGAACCATCACCATAGCTAAAGTTGGAGGGGAGGAAGAAGAATTGATAACGAAGCTATTCCGTGTTCGCATCCAATCACTAGTGAGCCGAAATGTTATCCATACAGTTACAGCCATGGGCGTCCCGTGTATAAGCAGTGACATTATCGAAATAAAGCTCAGTCACGTTGCTGGAATTTTTGGCCTAAGAGAAGAGGAAATCCGCAGAAGAAATGGCCCGGTTGACCTACTCATCGGCATTGATCACCCTAAACTGCATACAGGTGAGACTAGAGAAGCTGCTAAACTTATTGCAAGACAGTCCCCCCTTGGCTGGGTCATATTTGGAGCCACACCCAGAAAACATGAACAAGTGAACCGCGTCTTTAACGTAAAAGTCCCCACGCCCATAGACATGACTGACTTTTGGACAACAGAAACAATGGGAGTCGCTGCTAAGCCTTGCGAATGTGAAGCTGACAAGTTAAGTCCCGTAGAACGAAGAGAATTGAAAATTATTGAAGACTCCTGTCAAAAGATTGGACACTAGTGGCTAATACCGTATCCATGGAAACGAGACCCGAAGGAACTGCCCAACAATGAAATACAAGCTAAGAAGAAGCTGGAAGCAACTGAGTGCCGCCTGTCAAGAACACTGGAACATGCAGCCGCCTATGACAGACAAATGATGGAAATGACAGAGATGCAGTTTGCACGCAAGCTCACAAAGCAGGAATTGGAGACATACAAGGGACCAGTCCATTACATTGCCCACCACGAGATAGTGAGACCTGAAAAGACAATGCCCATTCACATAGTCTTCAACTCATCTTCTTCATTTCAAGGTCACCGACTGAATGATTATTGGATGAAAGGGCCTGATCTGCTAAACAGCCTTTTTGGAGTCATCTTACGATTTAGAGAAAATGAAGTAGCTGTCACTGGAGACATTTCAAAAATGTATCACAGGGTTCTTATCCCCGAGCAAGATCAGCAAGTTCACCGATACCTGTGGAGAAACATGGAAACTAATCGAGAGCCTGATGTTTATGTAAAGACGGTGCTGACATTTGCAGATAAGCCCGCACCTGCTATGGCACAGATTGCTTTGAGAAAATCCACGGACCAGGCAAAGAGTTCGTAACCCACCGCTGCCCAGGTATTGAAGAACAATACCTACATGGATGACATTTGTGATTCCGTCCATTCCGTTCAGCAAGCCAAGCGACTGACAACTGAGCTGGATGAAGTGTTATTGAAAGGTGGATTTCAAGTCAAGGGATAGCTTTCAAACCAAGGTCACTATCTATCTATCAACCCTATCTATCAAAATCAGCAATGTTTGCTCTTAAAATTAATTCAGTCCTTGCATGCTCTCACTGACTTTTTCCTTAAGAGAGATGCAAAAGAAAAGGCCTTCATCTCGAGAAAAATGAATGCAAGTATCAGAGAGTCTGAGAAGACCGAAATATATGATGAAATTGACTGGACCAAGCTTATTAGGGAAATGGGTTACAAAATCCATACATATCCCATCTTGACTTGTATTTGATTGGAAATTTAATTTACAACTATCAAAGCGAGACTGTGAAAACAAAAAGGATTTATGAAGAAACAGAAATTCAACATGACAACGATAATGGAACCATGATACAACAAAAAGAGAATGTGGCAATGTCAGTGAATACTATCAGCAATGGCATATCAACAATACGCATTGTTCCTCATCATTGAGGCACCATTGTTGTCCCCCATGTTGGCCATACCACTATTTTGAACACATGAAGCATTGATAACATATGACATCATTTTATCTCCACGGTACATTTTATCATCAACATGCTGGCAATCTACTAAAACTTTGTCAGACGTTTGAAGCACAAAAGTTTTGCCAAGGGAAAGTGTGAACGGCGGGAAACTCTTTTCTGCGAGAAGTGACCTCTCACAACCAAGAGGGATCAGTCTGTGGGACAATGAGGAGGACTTGCCTTAAGGATGTACGCAGAACTGGAGACAGTGTACACAAGTACATGTTTGTCTCTAAATGCTCCATTTAAAGTGAAGGGGATTACATGAAGACAGAGTTCTTCTTTCCTTAGTATTTTCTAAACCAGGTGGCTGAACACTGACGTTCATTCTAAAAGGTGTGGTGAACGGATGCCAATGGTTTCCTCAGGGGTATTGCATTTTCTGGGTAATTGTATTGTGCAACATCATGTTACTCGCCAGCTTTTGTGAGTACACACAATATTTTGTAGTTTGTTTGTTTTTTTTTAACCAATTTGTTAAATTTGTCTAATGACCTGCCCTTGCAGGGATAAATGTACACATGCGGTTTTAGATTCATGTATTTTCCCAGCAACATGGGGAAAATTTACTACAGCAATAAAAATGTGTTATTCAACAGTCAGTTTGAGAAAGATAAATTCATCCAACTATGATGTTTTTTAAACTATTATTATTAACCTTTTTATATTTTTTATATGTCAATATTATATAATTATGCCTGCTTGATGCTCCACAAATCTCCTTTGCCTTTAATTAGGGGTGTAACACAGCATTTGCAACCCTTCCGAACCACACCTGCTCAACTCTCTGTCACCCTATCTGTTGGGCCACCCATGCAGCACGATCTGCACAGTGCCAGCAACACTGTCAATGTGCCAAAAAAGGTAGGCAAAAATGGAGATGTACCTCTTTTGACACCCTTCTTTATAATCTTTTTCTCAGTCAATATTAGAATTCATAACACCCTTTTATCATGGTGTTTGCACAGTTAGTACAGTTACAATAACTAGTAATTTTGGTAACCACACAACAATTTAATATTACATTACAGCATTGTATCTATTTTACCTGTGGCTAAATGTAATTTAGGCGAGGTTAAAAACGAGACAATGCTGGCCAGCAGTCCCCACCACTAATTGTATGTGGGGTGGTCTTGGGGCTTAGCAGGGCCTTAGTAATTTTACAGAGTTGTCGAAGTCAATCATTTTGTTCTTGTTGCTTTTGCCTGCCATAGTTCTAGTTGATTTTGCCGTGTTGGTTTTTTTTCCCTTTGCTTTTGTCGCTGTTCCGCCTACGGGTACGTTTTGCTTTTATCATGAGGTAGCATTTGACCATTAATAGCTCCCAGTCGTTGATGGACAAGTCGTCTGCTTCTGTGGCCGCTCCTGTGCGCCAATCGACCGATGTTGGCGGATCCACCGCTTCTGCTCAGGCTGGCCCGTCTTCTGGCATTTCTCTGCCCCCCGAGATCGTGGCTTTGATCGCTCAATCTGTGCAAGCTTCTATGGTGGCCAAGTGGGCCAAAACTTCATCTTTGCCTACAACATCCTTTACTTTACTTTTGGCTGATCAACCGTTTGTTGTTGGACCCGGCATTTCCCTGGTTCTGGTGAAACTTGTTTTTCAGATCGTGGCCGGCAAGCACATTGATCTGTGCGATCTGCTACCCATGAACATGCAGGTTAAAGAACCCGAGTTGCAGTTTCTCTTCCACAATTGTCTGGTGTTGACGTCGCAGCCTAAGAAATCACAGTCAAGAATTGAGGATATCGCTGTGTGGACCGAAGTGTTCAGAGTCTTCTCCTTCATTTTGGTGTCGCACTTCCCTCACCACTGGAGGGACCTTTTGTAATACCAGGTTCTCATCCTTCGTACGCATCGGCATTTTAGCGGCCCTGTTTGGCTGGCCTATGACCGGGCCTTTTGTGAGCATAAGGCGGCCACACAGCTCACGGACTGGTCGTGAATGAACTCTCAATTGTTTAATTTTCACGCAGCGGGAGCCTCCATTCATTCGCCTTCATCTAACTATTCTCCTGATTGGGAACCAACTGGTTCTTCAGAAAGTATTGTGATCTGTAGGTCTTGGAACAGGAAGCATTGCACTTCACCTCTCTCCATCTGCCGCTCTGAGCTACTCCTGTTCTGGTTCACATTGTGCAGCGGTTTTTCCAACCCCATGTCTCAAGCATCTGCGGGAGGATGGAAAAAAGTATTCTTCGTTCCCTTCAGCTGTGAGTTCCTCCCGAAGCAAGGTCTAGTTGTTTTTTGCCCCCAACCCTCCCTCCTCTCTGGATGCTTTTCTTGGTAAGTATCTGCACCTTTTTCCACTGAGTTTCTCAGTGTGACAGTGCCTGGTGGGTGCCACTCACACGGTTGTCATGGTTACCTTCTAGGCCCGCTTGCAGCCCCTTCTATTTTACCAGGCACCTTTCCTACACCCATCTATTGTTGATGGGTTTAAATATATAGTATTTCATTGCATTATTGTAATCCAGGCCCGAAATAAGAATTTTTAAACTATTATGGTGTTATTCTTTTTTTATCACTCCTGTGACAAAACATAATTCACCTTCAGAGGGTAATTTGTGATTCTTAATAGACAACTGATTTATCGTACCCTGCTCGTGGTCACTACATCCTTCACAAGAAATTGATATCCAGAGATAGAGCCAAAGCCATCAACAATTTCAACGTTAAAAAGGGGAGACTGAAGCACAAAGAGGACAAGAAAGCAATATTTCAACCATCATTCAACTCAAAAGACTTTCAAGAGCTCACAATTCAATATTAAGGATTTGAACCAACCACAAGATTACACTGCGGAAAAACAAGCCATGGAGGACTTCAGTCAGTGAATACTGTACTGGTCAAACAAGAGAACAGGAACAAAATAAATAAAGGGGCAAGCCATGCAAACCAGTTGTATTCTACTATTGTACCTGAAATAGAAGGATCCAGAATTACAGCCGATGTTTTACAGATGAAAGAATGTTTTCCTGGGACATCAGCCACTTCAAACTTTTCAATGCTCTCATCAACTCCATAGATGTCCAACAATTGTGAAAGGAGGAGGATTAATGTCAAAAGCTAATTTTAGTCGTATTAGACTAATTATTAGTCTTGCTTTATTCCCAGTATTATGTCATATATATTATAAGGACAGTTGTACAATGTAAGAGTACTGAGGAGATCAATGTAAACAGAGAGTAACCATGCATGTACATGTACATTCAGGCAAGAAAATGACCACAGATCCAAAAATTCAGATAGTGGCCAGGGGCCAAGACACTTGCCAGCCATATAGGTACTATTTATTTTACTTAGAATTCTCTAAAAATGAAACAAACCTTCACAGAAAGAGTGGTGGGAGTGCACACTCCTTTTCACGTCACCTAGGTGAGACTGTGACTGTAAAGCATCCACAAGAAGTAAGTTTTTTCTTTTCAGCATCAGGTTTTTTCTCTTCCTGTTTACAAAATATTAAGCTACCCTTTTTGGACCATGTAAACAAGAACCTGTTTCATTAATAGCTTTGATCTATTGTCAGTTTGCAACCAGATGTTTTTACTTTAGGCAGTGTTGACCGTAATAATATTGCTTTACATGTACACCGTACATTGTGTTAGTATAATCATAATTTTCACCCCTGTGTGATACAAAAGTGCAGTAATCACCTGATTTTGGAGAAAAATAAGGATCTTTTCATTTCATTTGTGTTTTCAGAAGATGTAGGAAATGGCCCTTGCCAACTGCCCTGAGCAATTTTTCCATCCTGCTGTGTCTTACTTCGGGGGAAGTGGTAAAGTAATGCAGTAGTATTACTGAACACTGTGAATATGTACTAAATAACTTCAAGTGCATACGTAAAGTGGCTTACATATTTATTTATTTATTTATTTATTTTCATGCTTGATGATTGATAACCTTTCTCAGCCCCAACTAATTACCTTATGTACAGGCGCAAGATAACTTATTAATAGCAATAATATTATTATTATACTAACAAATCACTATTATCTAGTGCTAGTTCACATTTAGTCACCTAGTGATATTAATGCATTAATTACCAGAGCCTTAATAGTACTAGAAAGATAGGGTACGTCCTTCCATTGTTTCTGTTGCTGGTGCATTTGAATACCAAAAAATATTTTACAAAGGTGACATAAAATATCAATCTTATTATTATTATGTGATATATGATCTTGACCTAAAGTTAGGTCAACAATAATTTTTCAAGCATGCCGGGTTAACCCTAGAAGCCTCAGAGGCCAATCACTCTTAGAATTTGTGCCAAGGCCGATTATAAAAACAGCCCAGGTTATATTGCCTATGATGCAGTCCTTTTTTTTGGTGGGAAGAAATAATAAAAGTCCAAATTGTTGTTAGTAAGAAAACATTGGTTAAAAACAATATAAAGTGCTCGTCATGAAGCAATCATATGAGTGAAGATTTAGCAGTGGCAGCTGCTAACATGGATAATGATTCTCTTAATAGTAACTTGGACTGTGAGGTGGATTAAGGAGGCAAAAGTAGCAATGTCTAGTCACCATCAATGAACATGTTGATTCTCTAGATGAACGTTCTGAAGAGGACAGTGAAATCAAGTGATGCATTTGATGAAAATGTCAGCAGTATAGAGACCTCTGTTCACCCACCCAAACTGCATACATTCCGTAATAAATATTTCCGTCACTGAATGAAGTACTGGGATAAAAAATATACCTCCATGAATTCATCACCTATTCATTACTTCCTCGTGTTCCTGACTTCCGGAATGCTAGCAACCCTTTTCTTACCCTTTCCTGAAGGAAAAAATTTCACCAAAAAAAACCTTGCTAGATGTCGGCCACAAGAATACCAGTCTCTATCATTAACCACAAAAGAAGAGATGGAAGCATCAATCAGCTCACTGAACCTGTTTCTATGTACAATAAGCACATGGGAGGAGTGGATCTGCTGGAACAGTAGGTTGATTATTCAAGGCAGGAGAAAGACCTTTCCATAGGTCTCAATTTAAAAAAAATTATTTTTCAGTTATTGAAAGGATGGCTTACTCCCAGGGAGGGGGGGGTACTGCCATATATGGGCTTTATAGGTATGTGCCGGTGTGAAGGGTATGGTTATCAAGCAGTTTACTCCAGGATAGGGTATATAAATCAGAGCATTTGGGTCTAGAATAGGGTATCATTTTTCAGGAAACTGATCAGTTGGTTGAAGATTTTATCTAGACTAGGGAAACAGCTACTCTAGGATAGAGGGATTTGGGGAGTTAACTCTAGTATAGGGTAGCAAAATTCAGCTGAACTAGCTCTGTTATAGGTTAAGGGTTCCAGGGTCCCAGTGGCACATCCCCACCCAGAAATTCCTAAAGTACCCCCCCCCCCCTCCCCAGGGGCTTACTATGCTTAATGTTCTCTATGACAACAATATTGTTCTGCCACTGAAAAGGTATTCCATTTTAATTGAGGAACTTTGTTCAACAATATTTTATGATCAGTTGCCTGCAGAAGTTCCACATGTGCACAGGAGTGGGATCTTTCTGAGGAAAGAGGAAAAGGACTGTCTCATGTGCGTGGAGAAAACAGTTCAAAAGAGGGCCTGTACCCAGCGCAAGGACTGCAAGTTTGAGTGCAGTTAAAAATGCTTTGATTTACTTGACCACTACACCAAGAAAAAGATCAAAGTTAATGGGTCAATGAAGTTTCTTCTGGCCTCAATTCCACAAAGTTATAAGATACATATAGTCAGTGACTGGTACCAGTGCAGTGACATGTATTAACTGATATTTGTTTGTTTTCATTAAATGAAAGAGAAGTTGAAGAATACATTTCATTTTAACTGTTCTCAATGTTATTTTTTATTATTATTACATGTATGTGTTTTCAATCTTGTTCTTGTGATACACCATTCTTCACTTGAGCCATTTCGGGAACTGATACTTTTTACAACAACTAACTAATTATGCATGCACATAAATTATTGGACTCTTGATCCTTTATAAGTTTTGCTGTAGGAGGTCAGTTATGTCCAGTGTTACCACATACATGTAGAAAGGCTTTGTATTGATAGCCTTTTTTTCACAATTATTTGACCAACTCGTGAGAGAATTTGCACCCTCAAGTTAAAGGGACAGTGTCCCAATTATGAGCGGGCACGGGGGTCATCTGTTTTTTCTTCAAAAGACAATAGAACTGTCATAATGACTCAACAAGATTTCCTTCCCGACCACACTGCCGACGGAGATTTGTTGTTTATATTCTCAAGTAATATTTTAGACTTTCGTCTTATTTAAAATATTTTGGTTCATGGGACAAAGACTCATTTCGATTTTATCACTAGCAGGGCCGCCTCGCCACCCAAAAATCTCGTTCCACTCACTTTAAAAACAGATTTCCTAATTTGAAACTCGTGTCAGAGGTCACTTGTTCCAAGTCCAGTAATATCTGCCTGATTTGCTCGCATTTTAGCCTCAAACGTTTGAAAGACATAAATAAAAATGCAATCTTAACGCTATGAATCACAGCAAAGGTTAGTAAAAAATTATATTATGATTTCATGGCACTAGTTTTTCACGTAGTGCCTATTTGTTTGATTTTGTGGGCCGTAGGGAGGTTCATTTAAAAGTTTACTAACGCGTCATTGCAAAACATTCTGCTTCACAAAGCTCCCCTCCACAAGATCTCCTCAGTCACATCAATGTCTCAATGGTTTCTTTCTTACAGTCTTTATTGTTGCTGTTTCATTTCTGCATATTCCTTTCACAATTATCTGAGTTTGTATGGAAGCTAGCAGAAGAAATAAGCCTTCAATCGGCATCAAAGTGCTTCCCATCTTTTGGTCCTCCGGCCAACGGCAGTAAAAGTAATCCAAAAAATCCAGATTTTTTCCCAAATCGAAACTTAACAGGAACAATATATCATTGATCTGTAATCCTGAGAAGTTTTAGTGTAGTATTGAACTCGGCCAAGCGCGATGCAAATGGATTTTTCAAGGTCCTCTTTATACTCTCCTCGCATCTTTTGATTTCGCGACATCCTGTCCAAAAATAAAAGTTTGGTGCATGCACAGTAATGGGATACTGTTCCTTTAAAGGGGCTATGTCACCCCTGAACCATGAGTCAGCCAATGAAAACAAACTTGAAAAAGTCTGCCGAACTTTTTCAAGTTCTGTCAGAGATTTTGGAAGGCTGTTTTTATCTGTCTAAATCTCAGCCATCATTTGATAGTTAGCGAAGTTTTGTATTAAGAATCGTTCTATGGTGATTACAGAAGAATTTTTTGCCGCTATTTTGAAATTGTTTGCCCGTGGATTTTTTTACGTGGATTTACAGTGTACTCTTATCAGCAGCCAATGTAATGGCAGAGAGTAAACAACAGCTACTCCACAATGAGGGATGGAATCTTTGATGGAATCTTCCCTTTAGTTCACAGAACCTTTCTGTTGAGCTATTTTAGAGGCTGCTCGCTCTTGGATTTTTTTTGTGCTCAAAGTATGTGGACATAATTATAACAAAGTGGCTATCGAGTTGGCGACGGCCGTTTTTTTTAAACGATTACAACAGCATGGTCATGAGTTTTTGGAAAATAGCAGAGTTTACTTTCCCTTT